ACTCCAGTATGTCCATGTCTGTCTTGCACCAGGGAGCCCAAAGTTGGACATAGTGTTCCCAAGGCAGGCTCACAAGTACTGAATAGTCACTTCCCTCAACTTGCTGAAGCAGCCCAGAGTGCTGTCATTGTTCCTTATCACAAGGGCACACTGCTAAATTGGGTTCAACTCATTGTCTGCATGAACCATCTGCTCCTGCCCATGACTTTTCCATAGAGCTGCCTAGAAAGAAATCAGTCTGTACCCACACACTGCTGCAATCTTTACATGGGTATTCAGAAACTCAATGTATGTACGTATACCTTTCACACATCTTGTCAGAAATGAGAAAACCAATAGTAATAGGACACATGTAGAACCCATACCTATGCTAACAAAAACACATCATGCTGCTGAACAAGACATACACAGTGGGACGTATCCTATTGGGTTAAGTATAGGACTCCATGAAGTTGCTACAGAAGCACCAACAGAATTTTACTGTTCTTCCAGAAGAAGGGAGAACTAGGTTGATACTTTCCATTCATATACTATATATATATTTATACATATAGGTACACAACAGAAATGTAACAAAGTATACTGAAACCAAGAACTGTTTTGCTGGGGTTTTTTTAATGACTGTTGCAAGGAAATAATCATCAAGCTGGAAGCCAGCAATTCACCAAATTCTATTTTCTTTCACAATTAGGTGCAAAGCCTTACTTTCTTGTATGTCAGTTAAGCTACAAGAAAATGTATGAGGAAAGATTTAAAGCATTTACCTTTTCTAGAACTGTTCTGATTTTTTTTAGTAGTGCTGCTATCTGCCTTCTTGACGTTTGCACCCTTCACAGCTTTCTTGGTTTTGGAAGTAACCTTTTTAGGTTTTTCTCTTTTAGATGCTTTTCTAGGGGGCTATAAAGAAGAAAAAAGGAAGATTAAAATTATGGTTTCTACCCAATCTGTACTTCTTTTCTGCAATGGAAACTATCTTGTCAATACAAACTAATCAGCAAATTATATTTCTATATTTTGCTAACAGTTTTGACCCCTATACCATAGGGAGAATATGTCCACAAAGAGTATTCCTACATTCTCTTGAATTTTATGTTGTCTTTCTACCTGGCCTCTTAAGATCAAAGAGCTAAAACTTGTTGGTGATACTAGTAGTATGGTTACAGTACAACTTTCCATTCATAATTACTTATAATTAGCTTATAAAATAATTTTAAATATGTACCTTTAAAAAGGACATTTTATGTTGTATTTAGTTGCTTCTAGATATTGTAGCTCTCTAAGACTACACACAGCTAATTAATTTTGCACAAGTTGAGGAGAACTACATTACCTAACCTGTAATTTGGATAATTAATGTCACTAGTAAACCCAAGAGATTACTGAATTAAAGTTAACATCAACAGAAGAAACTGGGAACATAAATACACAAAGTATACACATACCAGTGCACTGCATTTTTTGCACAAATTACATGTGTTCTTAATTAACAAAATCTTTAGACAGTACTTCTGACAAGGCTGAAAACTTCCCTCACAGAAACATGGAACGCTAACCAGGAATAAACCATACTTCAGAGAAAGAACATAATGAAACAAAACAAATGAGCTATCAGCAGTTACTAAATTAATAATTCTAAATTATACTTAGAATTGCAGCATAGTCAACAGAGCAAACTATCACATCTAAACAATTTGTTCATATAACTTTTAACTGCTTCTCCTATTAGTAGTTAGTGCAACTCATGAAACTAGTATTTAATAAACTAATTATACTTATTTATATTGGCTAGCTCAGTTATAGTTACACTCACTCTAGTGTTACATGAAGGATAAAGACTTTCACTGTTGAAATTCAGAAAATACACTCAAGGATCACCCCATTTCTAAATAAATGTTTGCATGTTCTAACTCTTACCTTTGAAGTTTTTGCTAAACCTCCATCACCAGCTATATGGTCAGAAGTGAAACTCAGCACTCATATTTTAGTGTTGAAGAAAATGATGCTCCTTCAGCACAGAGAACTATTTCAAGTATCTTTTGCTTCCAGGTAGCTGTACTAGTTTTTGTTTCTATTCTTTAAAGAAAGAGTTGCAATCAAGAGAGACATGCAGCTCTGGGAACAACCTTCTCCAGCTATTCCATGTCCGAGATTCCAACAGAGCTGGGGCAGCAAAGCAAATATGCTGCCACCATTCTTCTATCTCTAGTATGTTAAAGGGTATCACAAACTTACATTTTTTTTAAAAAAGCACTTGCCATCTTAAAGCTGTATAAATGCAGACATTTTTCATTTCACAATTTCCTACATTCAAACTAATTTGATACCCTAGGGTTTTTGTAATAAGACTTCAGTTTATGCACCTATCACCTAGCAGATATATCTAACTCCTACTTTTTGAAAGAAGACAAAGAAGAGCTAGTTAGATCAATTGAGTTTATGGTGAATTTTGTTTTGTTTGTTTGGGGGTTATATTTTGGCTTTTTAAAAATAATCGAGTTGTTGACAAATTTTCTAAATGACAACTCCTGCCTCTGAAAGTGATACTCCTCACTGCAGGAAGACTGCATTGCTGAAGAGATGCTTCTCTCTGTTTGACATCTGGGGACAAGCAAAAAGGCAAACTAAGAATTAATTTTTTTTTTTCATGGAGGCACAGAGAGTTCCCTAGAACCATTTTTTTAAACTAAAACCAAAGCCTGTCAAAATGACAGCAACAAAACAGAATTGCATAAATTGGCCTTTAAACAAAAGACTTTGGTTACTATTTTCTACAGCTCAGGCTGTTTACTTAGACTGTCACACTTGCACTGCCATAGACAGAATGTAGGCCAGGTAAATAATTGTCTTGCATTACAGCCAACGGTTCCATAGCTTACATAAAAAGCATTTCCTTGGACACCCAATAGTCAACCCATTAACGTTTGTTGCAGAGCTCTGATTAAGGCTAAAAAGGCAGTCCCTATATCAAAATATAGAATAACACTGAGCCTGTAGCTCCTTTACATCTTTTTCCAAGCTTCAGGCATACGGAAAAATCAGTGTACACTCTTTACACAAATCAGCTGTACACTTGTACTGGCCCTCCGTGTTTTGTGTCTATTCTGAGACTAAGTATAAGGCTGAACAGAAAGGCACAGAAAAAGGTATTTTGCCTTTAAACATGAAGTTAATCTCATTTATCTCCTACTATGCAAGACTAAAAGCTCTGAAGAAAACAGAACAGAAAATTCAGTGAAATGAGAACACTTTGGAGATTGCGGAGGTGTTTGTAAGGCTGCTTACTATGTTGCTCACTTTTACCTTTGCAGTCTAAGACACAGAAGTCTAAAAGAGAGATTAAGACATAAAATCCAGGAGAAATCTGGAATCAAGATCCAAAACCAATGCAGCTAATTAGGTCAGGGACCTATGCTGAATTCAAAGTCAAGTCCTAGGTATCTAATCAAACCCTACACAGAAAAACAGATAGAGAGGCATTGAGAATTTTTATGAAATTACAATAAAGTCATCACAAAATTATATAAGAATAGTAATAAATCATGTTTGAAATCTTGCCTGCCCCAAAATGACATACAGCAGATGATTTTAAGCTGCACATACGCATTTAAGAATCAGAACGTTTGTCACTAAGAAATTATGAAAATCACTTATAAATTGCAGATGTTGCACTTTCTTTCAAACTATTCATTAAGTTAAAAATAATTTACCCCCAATTCTGCGTGTGCCAAGGTTTAACAGATGACAGCGTGTTCCAAGAATTACCGATTGCAGACAAACATTTTTAGCTCTATATTGAAAATAAAAGCAAAAAACCTCATTACCTCATCTTCACTTTCTTTTTCTTCTGAAGAGTCATCCTTTTCCTTCTTTTCATCTTCTTCGCTACTGGATTCATCTGACAAGATCTCTGGGCACTTGGTGCGTTTTGCTTTCCTTGTTGTTCCAGTGCTGCTGCGTTCTTTTTTGCCACCTTTGCTTGGTGCTTTTTTGGACTTTGGCAACGGCTGAAAAACAAGGATATGTAATCCAAATAGGAATACAAAAGTGAATTTTAACATAAATTCCTTCAAAACACATGAAAGAACAGTGAGCTAATGTAGAGGTCTCTTGATAACAAAACACAAGACTATTTTATGTACTACACTTAAGCCTTCCCCAATTTGCTGAGAATAAATTTAATTTCCTGACCAACAGTCTACCTATTCAAGTACTGCTTTTAGGTTAGAAACTCAAAGTCGAAGAAGATTAATAATAAAGACTACTGAAGTCTTGGCAGCTGAATCTAGTGCACTAGCACACTGGAGTTAAAGGAAGTTCTCCTAGCCTTTCAATAAATTTCATTTTGTGACGACAAAGGTGATCACATACACCTTCCAAGTTGTAGCATTCACAAGTAACTGACAGCTTGCTTTCCTGTTCTTTCATGTTTTGTTTCCCTGTTCCACCTTTTTTTTCTTTTTCTTTCCTGCTCACATATTATGTCTATTCCCTTCCATTCACCCATGAAGCAGAAGCTACTTAAAATATTTAGGTATGGGTATCTCTAATTAGCTTAATGTGTTTACCACATATGCTTTTGTGCACTAACAGTGTACAATGGCTGCACTTATATGTAAACATATAGTTTCTAAGTCCTCACTCCATTATGGATGCCTGCAGGAGTAGAGTTTCTCTCTTTCAAAAAGTCATCCCTACTGTGAGTTAGAACAGTAACTGTATCACCAGTGGTAACAAGCAAACAAAAATACATACAGCTACATTTTTCATCAGAACAGAGCTATAAAAGCAAGACTAAGAACCTGCATCTCACCTTGCCTGAAGGTTTTGGGTGCATTAAGAAGTTTAAGATTCTGGTTACCAGCTCACTATTAACTCCTGATCTTTCCAAGTCAAGAACTTCACAGATACTTTTCAACATTGCATTTCTAAATCTGGAGGAAAAAAAAAATAATAAAATTCAGTATCACATCCTAAATTATCAGTCACAATTTGGATGCTAGAAACTGCTATATAGTTTGTGCCTGCAACCTGAAACAGACATGAATATAAACACTTATCTACATTACTAGTCTTATCTATAGTTAAGCATAGAACCACCACCATACTACATAAAGCAAAATACAATAAGATTCCCAAATCTACATGTGTGTAAGGTAGGATATATAAAAAGAAGTTATAAGATCTTAATTTAAAAAAAATATCTTTCCCAGAATCTCTCCTAATCTACCATACTGGAAAGAATCAATCTTAGGAAAATAAATTTCACCTCTCAAATTCTGTCATTTTTTTTTAATGCTTTGAAGGTCATCTGCAGGTAACAGCAAACATAATGTACTAAAATGCAGTTCAAGTGTGGAATAAGCAAGTGCACACAAGTTTTGAGTCAGTAACTTGACAGCAAGTAGTTCTGACTGGTCTAGTGTCCCTGCCCATGCAGGAGAGTTGGAACCAGATGATCTTCAAGGTCCCTTCCAACCCAAACCATTCTGATTCTATGACTTACAAAATCCAAGAACTCTAATCTACACAGCAACCTCAATCCCCATACTTCGTTTATAAGCTGAACAGTAAGATTGTTCAAAATAAATTCTGTGCTTTGTTCATCTTGTTCAATGCTGTCAGAACATGACATGCAAGTGTGAAGTGTGCGCAGAAATCAAGCACATAGTCAGAATAAATTAATAATCTAATCAGCAGTGTTTCATACATAGCTATGAACAGCAGAACAACTTACCACAGTAACACAAGCACACAGAGCTCAGTACCTTCATATAAGAGTGCCAATACAACCAGTTTTCAAAATATTTGCTGAAGACTGAAGGGTAACAAAACTTAACCAGTAGTTCTTTTACACTGAACAAAAATGAAAAAACATGGAAAATTACTTTGTTTTTGTGACTTTTTGCCATGAAGGGGCAACATATCAAGTGAAACCAGTGGGAAACAGTCGGACCTCTCATCCTGAGACAGTTTGTCTTGTAGATTCACATGTAATTTGACAAACCATACTCCTAAAAAAAGTGTATCTGAGAAAGATTTGCAGATTCCAAATTCAAGAACCCTTCTCACTATCAACAACCTGATACTAAAAAACAATTTAGAATCAATTGTGTAGAAAATGTTAGTTCTTTAATCTGTTATAACTAGCTGCACAAATATGGAGGGGCATTAAAAAAAAACTTTCAGTCCAGTGCAACCAAGCTGCAGCAGCTCCTCCTTTTAATAGAGAAGCCTCTTATCTGGGAAGACAGTTAAAAAAATAAGGAAGTAAAAAGATCTGTTAGACTAATTGCTAGACCAATTCTAGGAATAAGACTGTATGTTTGATATACAGTAAGAAAAATATCTTGGATTCTGAAGGAGGAAGGTTTCGAGCCACAGAAGGATGTAAGTTTGCATCATGAATAGAGCACAATGTATTCACAACCCTATGCTTGCCCTGGGGAATAACGTTTTCCTCTCACTTGACATAAAATTCTGCTAGTTAGCATGCAATAGTTGCAGCCAGAACTGCAGGAATTGTGAATAAAATGTTAAAATTTTGACTCTTTTTAATGACTTTCAAGCTGTCTTAAAGAGACCAGTTGGTGTGATTAAAATGAGCTCAGAAACAGAACGCACAGCTCTAGGAAACGGCCACTTAGTTTAAAGTTTAAATTTAATCTGAAAAGAAAAAGGAGTGTATAGCATGAGTCAAACTATGTTAAGTAGCAGTAGAGTTCATTACTTTTTTAACATTTCTTCCTTCTTTTTGTATTGGTCACTTCCTTTTTCAAATGGAAACCCACTGAACTGACCCACATTCTTCTTTAGGGAAGCAACCTAGGACAGAACACACAGATTAGTTTCCACTGCAAGAAGTTCAAAAGATTTAAATGCAATTACATGTGCTAACTTTTCATAAAAGAAAAATCAATTCTAGCATCTAGCTTTCTGCTGACTTGCACCCTTTAAGTTAAAACCAACATCGATTATGCCTTTATTTATCTCATGACAGCTAAACCACAACAATTAAGTTCTTGTGATCTTGGCACTTTTAATAATTTACTAGGTAAAATCACCTGTCATTTCAAGCCTGTTTAGAACATAATGCATGATTATTTACAAGTTTGCACAATTACAATCACATGAAGCTGTTGCATGCTTTGTACCATATAATTTGTTACAGAATAGTGATCTTATTTTTACTGTATAATCTGCTACAGCAGATTTGCTTTGCTTGCTTTTCTAATGTCTTACATAAGATCATGAGTGTACTTCTGAACTTTTTCTTTAACATTACCAATTCTCACATTTACACACCACCCAATTTACAACTTCTATTAGCACACTTGCAGGCTGAACAGGACTGAAATTTCATTGCAACAGCCCTTATAATGGGAAAACTGCTCCCATCATGATCCCAAAGATATTAATCTATTTGCTCTTCCTCCCTATCCTTTCACCAAAAAACATAAAAAACCATCCCCAAATCTTTAATTCTTCTGAGATCTTTTTAACACTATCAAGAATAATTTGAACTCACTTTCAATAGTTCTACAAATTTTGTTCGTGGTGTTTCTCCATTAGTTTACAGTTTTAACAAAGCTAAGCTCCTTTTCCAAAGAGAATTATCTTTGTCCAGCACCTAGAGAAAATTTGTGCATGGTATTGATACGTTTTATTAAAAACGTTAATTACGACCCAAAGCACATACAGAACATGCATACAAGACATCTGATCTTTACCATATCAAACTGCATCCCGAGTTCCCTACAATACTGATTAAATACAGTGTGGGATGAAACATACTGATATATTTCCAAGGAAATAAATATATCCTCATATCTATGGACTCAAGCCACTAGAATGCTGCAGCAATCCAGCTGGACTTCCCAACAAGTCTATGTTCAAAAGACTAAATGTGGGAGAGCAGAGAAATGGAGGTGGTGGAATTGCAACCAAATACGTGGTGTGGGAGGGAAGGGTAAGAGCTTTATTTCAGCAGCAGTTCTAATTAGTATGATTTGGGATTGCTTGTCTATTAGTTGATTAGATTACTACTGAATAATGTATCAATTAATAACAGCATAATTGAGTTATTAGTTTCTTATTAGCATGTTGCATAATAAGCAAACAATACATTCTCTTAAATCAGTTATATCTCAGATCTGCAATCCAATGTGGGAAATATGGACTCTGAGGTAACAATATCCTAGTACCTCCACCCAAAAACTGCAGAAAAATGTTACTGGATGCAGTTTGATGACTTCCACAGTAAAGCCAGTTAAATGAAGAAGTTGCATGGTCTGTCATTGTACCTTTACTACCAAACAGGTAAATTCTACTGCAGGACAATACAAAAGTTTGCAAAAGTCCGTATAAATCTATATTCAAGCAGGCTTGCAACTCAGTACACCTTTCCAAACGATTTTTATAGGGAGAACCATTCACAGGAAATGCAAAAATGATGCGCTTACTTAATTGGTCCTGCAAGAATAATTTTCTAAGTAGTTTGTAATAAATTGCACTTAAGAAGTAGATCCCCACATGCAAATGTAAAAAAACTACGTACTACAAACATTGTCACTACACATGAGAACTAATAGGTACAGAAGATTGATTTTAAGTTCTTACAGTGCCTGGCCTGTTGTAGAGGAGTTTGTGCAGGTTCCTAAGTTCATCTGTCTTCTTTTTACTCAGAAAGAATTGTATCCTTTCAATTTCACAGAGTTTTTGTCCTTTTCCTGAAACAGTTAAAATAAAATAAGCTATCCCTTACATTCATATTTACCGATGTGTTTATACCTTCAAATATATATTGATCTTTAAGAAAGCAAAGAAGTTCTTTCAGAACAGCATCGGTCATCATAACAGGTCAAACATTAAGCAGGCCTTCCTTCAGTTTGGCATCCTGACAGTCTCTATCTTCCTTACTTGATCCTACCTAGACCACAGTACAAGGACCTGGCATTTTTTATTCTAGCTGCTCCTGCCTTTGTTAGTGGTGACTAAGTATTGAAGATCCCAGACAAGTTGAAACATTGTATATCTTTCATGGTTTAAACTGATGCTAGAGAATAAAAGAGGGTTTTCGTATAATTATAATAGGCTTACAGTTTTCAAATGGATCATGACTCTTTAAGTCTCATCTACACCAAACTGATAATTTTATCTTTTAAGAAGTTTCATTATCATTCCCAAACTCACAATTCTTACGTAAGAGCTTACCTGGTGTAATTGTAAAAGGTTCCTTTTGCAATGAGGACACTTGCATGGTCAGTCGGTCTACCTTCTTTTTCTCCCTTTTTCCTTCAACAATAAGACTCTTCTCTGCAAAAGACAACAGTATTTTTCATTGCCTGAGCAGATCTGACTGTAGTGACAGGTAATACAACACTTTAATCAAGTATTAATACACTTTCAAACCTTAGGCTAATAGATCAATGGGATGTATAGAGCCGTATATATACGACTATATATACAACTAGAGAAGTCTCTGGTTTTTAACCACAATCCTGCATCCCACTTAACACTGAAGACAAGACTGGATATTTCCTAAAGTGAATTTCACCTGACAATGGAGAAGGCAGCACTATGCATCTTCAGAAACTCGCCCTCCCTTCACTGCCTTTCTGAGGTACAGAACTGACACTGTTGCCTAGTCTCCTTCTGGGACAGCCCCTACTCACATAGCTCCACTTTAGCTCTCTCAGGGAGAATGTTACTACCACCAGATGGGCAAAAGGAGAGTCCAACATGCCTGCAGACACTTCCTCTTCCCAACACTAGGCTGGAGGACTCACACATACTGGCAGAAGAGGCAAAAGTACAAGCAAAGAGGGAGTTACAACACATCACAGGGCTATGCAGTGTGGCACTCTGCAGGGCACTATGTGAGTGTCAGAACTCATACAAGAATACTATTCCCAGTAATTCTGGTACTGCTTAGTGAAGAACACATTTAGATTATGTTATGTATACACTGCACATCACTGTAATACCATCTCAGGAGAAAAATATAAAGCTTCACCTAAACATGTCACACTAAAATACATTACCTCAAACCACATATCAAACTATCCTTTGTGCTAAACAGATGGGCTCTCCTAGCCTTAACATCTGAAAGCAGCCTCAGAATGTCTATGACCATAGACAGCATTATCTCTTTTTCTTTCCTAAAGAAAAACTTCATCTTTTTTCAGGATCCAGAACCAGCAGTGACTTGTTTTTTACTGTGCCATACTGCAGCTTTTGCCTTGCTTGCTTGTCCTACATCACCATTATTTTTATTGACAAAATTAGTCAAATGGAATATCCACACTCAACTATAATTAAATTTTGGAACCTAGTAAGTTAATTCATGGTAGTTAAGCAAAGACATGTATTGTTTCTGAAGCTACTGCACAGATTTTCACGTTTCCCTCTTCTGAAAGCATGGATCACTTCAGAACATTACTGGCAAAAAAGGATTATTTTTTGATATGCATTTTTATGGAAATAATTTGATAAAGGATGCTACCTCTTATCATTGCCTAGTAGTCTATACAACAACAATAAAAAAAACACCCTAGCATAGGAATCCAGGTGCTGGCTATTCCTTTAATCATTCCTGAAGAACATCAGCATCACTGTTTCCAGTGTGGCTTGTTATAGTCTAATGAGAAGCAATTTATGATCCATGAGACAGATGTACTATTGAATCTCCTAAACAATAATTGTGTAATTGGCAGAGATCACAGGAGACTGCATTCAGTAAGCCTGGCATTTTTAAAGAACAACTTCTTCAGTGATAAAACATGTACCTTTTTCTTCTCCTTCTTCTTCTTCTTCCTCCTCTTCCTCTTCTTCATCTTCCTCACTTTCCTCAGCTTTGTTTACAGTTTCAGGTTGTTTTTCATCTGCTTTCCCAGATGACATTGTATCTTCTTTAGATGAAACTGCAGAAGACATGGTGTAGGGTTCTGTAAAAAGCAGGCAAGGACACCATAAGCAATGTGGCATTATACATGAAAAACACAGGAATCTTGATTTTGTAAAAAAACATTATATTGTACAGTAGAAGCAATGCCATAGGGCTCATATTATGATTGTTTATACTTTAAGACACAAAAGTATTTTGCATATGCACAATACAAAGTTTTTCAGGTGGAACTGCCATCCATTCTGCAGCTAGTCTGGTTAGGAATAGTTAAAAAAATTATCAATTCTTTCCACACACAAGTCTTCAAGCTTGCTTTGTGAAGCATTGGGACATGCCCACTCAAACAGCTGAATGCTACTATCTATTAAGAACTGTAATGTGTCAAGACATCACTGTTTTAGTGTGCCACATGATAAATTGAACAGTCACTTCTGATAACAGTTAACTATGCATACAAGTTCCCTAATAAGTTAAACCAGCTACATATTCAGATGGGAAATGGGACCAGAAAAACAAAAAGTTATCAGCAATTCAGAAAAAACAAGCACCGCTTTCAGAATTCAAACATAAAATGCCTTTTTTTTTTTTTAAACCTGCAGCTCTACAACAACAAAAGAGTATTTTCTTAGCATTTGATGTGGCTTAAATGTTAACTTTAAAATACTTCACTCCAGCAAGTACCTGTTTCGAACTGACACAGAATGTCTGTCTACTAAAGAAATATAAACACGTCTCTTGATGGTAGAATGTTCTGGCCTTCAAAGTCTTTCACTGTTTACAGATCTGGAACAAAATGCTGTTTAACACAGCTCACCAGCTGTGTTAAAGCCTTGTAGAAAAGATACCCCATGATTAACCATTTTCTTTTTCTGATACTGAAGCAAATACAACCTGCAAGAGGTCAGACTCAATCAACTAACAATAAACCCAACTGCTAATATGCAATATTAGCAGATGCAAGAGAACAGCAGCAGTGTAAACGACAGAAAACCTAAGTCCTGTTACAGATAGTCAGGGGGCAAAAAGTTTACTCCTCTTTGCTAAATCACTGAGGAAAAAACCCCAAACAAACCAACCAACCTCTTTCGGGGTATTACTTCCAGTAGTTCATTTGACACAACAAAGTAATCTGACTTTTTCACGGTATTACTGCCTGAATTTGACTTGCCGAGACAACTGACAAAGCAGGCGAAATACACGTTCCTCTTTGAGTGGGAGCAGAAGGTGAACAGGGGACAGTAAGACACATTCCAGCTTTTCGGCAAGCAGGTCTGTGAGGACGCCTTGCTCAGGGCAAAAGGGCACCGGTGCCCACCTTGAGGCAGGCGTAAACCGGGGGTATTTTCGGCGGGGAGGGAGGTACCTCGCAAGCCGCCCCGAGAAGGCTCCTCATGCACAAGCACCTCCCGCCCTCCCTGCAGGACTTTCCCGCGACGGACTCGCCATCCCCTCCCTTCCCGGCTCTCGGGGAGAGCGATGACGACGGGCAGCGCCCGAGGAGGAAGGCAGCGGGGCCAGGAGGCCAGACCTGCCCTGCCGCCGGGCCCCGGGGCGGGACA